ATAAATAATAAAGAAAATAAAAAGAAATGGAAAAGAAATACTAGTAATAAAGGAATAGGGAAGGGTTTTTGGTAATCTATGCAGTTTTATGATTCCACTTCAGGAAAAGACAGAACCTTTCTCTCACCAACTTTCTATACAGAGTTGTCAGATGTACTTTGTGGCGCCTGTTAACAACTTCAATTATTTAACATAAGAAACCATAAGAGCCATGCCTGTAGGCAGTACCTTAAAAGGAATTGTCATAAACTATCAACGCCATTTGTTAACTCTAGCTGATACACCATATTTAAAGATGTCTTAACCATCTTTTTATTAACCAGCTGGGAACTGTAAAATAAAGAGATATAACCAAAAACAAATACTGGTAATGGTAAAATACTGGTAATGGTAAAACACTAATCTACATCCATCATGCAATGTGATTAAAGAAGAGTGTTTATTGAGGTAGGGATGTTTATATGTGGTAAGTGCGTTTAGGGTTACTTGGTACAAATAGATACAAAACCAATGGTGCGGGTTGAGGTTACAGAATTTTACCATCAAGAATATGTTCAACTGTAATGCTAGCTTTCTTGATAAAATGTTTTCTGCTTGGTTTTCTCCTATGTTTTAGTTATTATTTAATCATGTAGGATATTTTGTCATTGTGATTATATGTGTTAAATACTGCTAGCTTTGCTTTTTATAAACAGTGTGGATTTTTGCTTTAGCTAAAGTTCTTTTGTAATGTTTTGTGAGGCAATGATGTTTTGCTTTGAACATTAAATGCTTAAATACATTGATGACTTTTTCCCAGGGTATGCTTTGCTGAAATGGGTGAGGGTACATCTTTTATGCTTCCAAATATGGTACCATAAACAGAGTTCAAATGCGAGATATAAAATGACACAGAAATAAACTTAACATATGGAAATAGATAACAAAAAAAAAAGTGTCATATACTTGTAAATAAATTAATAAGATGAAATTCAAAACAGATAGACATTGACAGATAAAAAGAAAGTAGCTAGCTAGCTAGATAGATAGATAATGAGAGACTGAGATGAATAGATATAAACATGTTGCAACAGATAGATAGATAGATAGATAGATAGATAGATAGATAGATAGATAGATAGATAGATAATGAAGAGGTTGGGATAGATAGATAGATAGATAGATAGATAGATAGATGAATAGATAGATAATGAAGAGGTTGGGATAGATAGATAGATAGATAGATAGATAGATAGATAGATAGATAGATAGATAGATAGATAGATAGATAGATAGATAGATAGATATGAGCAGATTGATATTTATTCAATAGATAGGTAGATAAATTTAAACAGTTTGTATTTGGTAGATTAATACACAAAATTAGAATAAAGAATTAGAAACAATTCCCAAGACAGAAGCCAAGGAAATAATTTTTAATCTTAATATAAATGAAGGGTGGGAAAGAAAGTAAAAGAAATCTTTGTATAAGTTGGAGAAATTGAATAAAAACTGGCAGAGAGAAATATATTTGAAAGTCATTTTCAGCTTCAGTTTCTCCAATTATAGATTTAACTTAATTTAATTATCCAAATATAAATGCAAACACATTATATGGCTTCTGTTATTTCTTTCATTCATCTTTTTTTTTTGTTTATATATAGAAAATTTTCTATTTGCTTTTTGGAGTATATAGATTTATTTCCTTCTTGTCTCTAAAGTAATTATAATTAGGAATTGTGGCTGTCATCTCTACCCAACTGTTTAAAAATAAAAACAAACAAACACACAAAAATAAACTAAAATAAAAAATTGCATTAATTCTATTTTTCTTTGCTTTCATTTCTTACCGGCAATTAGTCACAATTTGATCAACCACCTCACACATATCCCATCATCCTCTGAACATATCCCATCAGCCCTCTTGTTTCTACTCTCATCAAACATGATAAGACAAACACAATTCCATAAAAGTTTGGACAAATAAAATTAAAAGAAACAGAAAAACACAAAATGGTTTCAATGGAATCTGATGTTCATATCATCAAAAAGATATTTGTTTGGAATAATTCTTGCTGGATGTAATAAATCTCAAGTACAATAAATGATTTGGCAGCTTATTTTCATCATCTATATATATATATATATATATATATATATATATATATATATATATATATATATGTTTGTGTATGTATGCAAATGTGTGTGTCTATATGGTTGTGTGTATATGTATAAGACTATGTATTTATTAACTTGTGTGCATATATCTATAAATTGGTATATATCTCCACATATGTAAATAACTTTGTGCTCATATTTATTGTACTTAACTTTACACACACATAGACACTCATATGTGTGTGTATACATGACAGTGTATGCATGTGTACATATGTGAGTGTGTATGTATCTAAGAATTTGTGCATATATATATATATATATATATATACCTGGGCATGTATATATTAACATATATATATATATCTGTAAATTTATATGCATTTGCACATGTATTAGATGTGTGTTTATATGCATTTAAATGCATATAAATATATATCTGTGTTGTTGAGATAAATATATATATATATATATATATATATATATATCAATGTATATGTGGATGTGTGTCTATATATATATTTATCCATTACCTGGTGCATGATATATATATATATATATATATTCCTATTATCATATATGGTTGATTTTTTTATAGTTCTTACCTTTATGTATTGAATGTAATCAGACACAAAGATTTCATATTCATTTTTTCATCTCATCGACCTCTGCTAAGATGAAAATTATTCTGTACCATTAAATACACCCACACACACATATGTATGTATATATCTGTGTGTGTATAAACGGCTGGACATTTAAGTATTCCTCTATATATTTGTGTAAAGATTTTTTGTGTCAAGTTTTAGTTTTCCATCTTTGCTAGATGAGAAACAAAAAAAGCCATTATTTTTAGAGTTTGATAAGGATATTTATCTTATTATAGACTCATCAATATATATATATAAAGATATGGATAGAGACATAGATCATTTTATTCTTAATAAATCCGTAATCTATTATTGGAAGTTACTGTTTCTAATCATTTCAACATCAATAAGTAGAATAAATATTTTTTTTGTATTTATTTAAAAAAAAGAAATGCCTAATTTTCTTTTAGATGTGTCTATATTTCTGAGATGAGGTATTGTATCTATTTACACTGTTCAGAGTAATGTCCTCAGCTTTATTATTATATTCCAAATGTTTTATGTATTTATTTCATGAAAAGAAACTTTCTTTTACATGAGGTATTGTATCTATTTACACTGTTTGAACTGTTGTCCTCAACTTTATTGTCATATTCATGTTTCAGCCATTTTATGCTTCAGCCTTTTACAGGTGATATATGTTGGAATTTCAAACTGAACCTTTTATTTTCATCCACCGGGGTAGATTGTTCTAGTTCCACATGCCATGCCTTTTCTGGATATCTCAGTTTCAGTTATTTCCCTTTAGTAACTCAACTTTCCAAGGTTTTGTTTACCTCTGCTGTAGCCAGGTATTGAACTCACAACTCTTTGTCACTGGATTACTTCAAACAATGCTTTTATTCACATGTGTCTTTTAGATGCGAGGTCATTAACCTAAGAAATGGAATCAGTCAACTAAAGAAAATGATTCTTGGATTCAATTTGCAGCAAAGAATTAACTATGCTGTGTGATATTTCTGACTTAGAAATTGCAAGCCATTTTCAGGACAACTTGTTATTTTATCTATGAAATTTTGCTCTTAATAGAGCAGATAAATTTGTCATTTTTTGCAATTTAAATAGCATTAATGAAAATAGCTTTAACTCTTAAAATTTTAGCATTTTTCTTCTTTTATTTGCTATGTCCCGTCAGCACGTGGATTGTTATGGCTCTCCACAACTTCCTATCTCTTGTAGCTCTAAGCAATATCTATTTCATCACAGTAACACTCAATCTGTGTTTTTCCATCCATTTAAACAAGCTCATTGTTTCCTCTTCTCTGCTTAACTTCAATATGTCTTGTCAGTGTCAAATTCTCAAAGCCTGCTTTCCTCACTATGTGCCTCAGAAATTTCAATTGTTTTTGTTACCATTTATCTTATGGTATTCTCAGTATCCTTCTGTAGAACAATATTTCTGTTGCTTCAAGTCTTATCCACATCTCTGAGGAAATTCTCTGCAATATAGCAGAACTGATATTACAGCAGTCTTTTCTTTGTTTCTAATAACTTTCCATTCCTCAATTGCCAGCTTAACATTTTGATTTTAGCATTAAAAACAAAAATAAAAAACAGATGAAAGCGTTCTACACAGATACACAAACAGAAAATACCATTTGATGCCTTTTATTGCTCACTGATATTGACAGTGTCGATAGAAACTTTTCTATTATTCTTATTGACAAACCTGCTTATTAAGAATTATGAACAGATGTCTGTTGAGGAGACAAGATCAAGTAATAATGTAGCACCTGTCTATTTCTTTGCATGACAATTTCTTGGAGAGGTTTTTCTTTTTTTGGCAGACTCTATTTTTTTTTTTTTTTCTGGAAGCCCTGCCATAATATCTTCACGACTTTGCCCCCACCCACTTCTACTTAACACTATGACTATCTTATTTATTGTTTTGTGTTTGCATTTTTCATTATTTTGTTTTATGCGTCTGGTAACATTTAAAGAGGAATGGATAAACAGATGTTTTGGCACATTGGTGATAGCAGCGTCTTTCATGCAAGTGCAGAAGAAGGAAAAGGAATGGGAGTGAGATGCTGAGTATAGGGAAGAGACCAGACAAAGAAGAAGCAAATTGCATTTCTGAACAAGTTCTGGGGCTAAAGAATGCACCAAAAATAAAAAATAAAAAATGAATAAAAATAAAATATGTGCATGGACACACACGCAAAAAAAAAACAACATTACTTCTTAATTGTAAATGGAAACTTTTCTCAAGAAACATCATCTTAAAGAAAGAAAGAATGAAAGAAAGAACTAAGAAAGAAAGAAAGAAAGAAAGAAAGAAAGAAAGAAAACCTGAGAAAGAACTAAGAAAGAAAGAAAAAAACTGAGAAAGAAAGAAAGAAAGACAGATAAAAAAATGAATGAAAGACAGAAAGACAGAAAAAATGGAAGAAAGATACAGAAAGAATAAAATAAAGAAAGAAAAACTAAAAGAAATTCAAAAACAGAAAGAAAATCAGAAAGAATGAAAGACATAAAGAAAGAATGACAGTGTAGTATTGTATGCAAATTAGATAAACAAATATAAATAGAGAACAACAGGCGAACATAGTGGGGCTATGCCTAGCAAACTTGATTGCTATTCAGGACACAGAGAACTGTACTATGACTACTACTATGCAGTGAGATATGCAAAACATAACAGAAAGAAAGAAAGAAAGAAAGAAAGAAAGAAAGGCCTGGAAGAAAAACAGAAAGAAAGAAAAATACTGTGTGAGGACAAATGAACAAGAAAACTAAAAAACAACTAAGAAAGAAAGAAAAATCTAAGAAAAAAGACAGAAACACAGAACAAATGAAAGAAAGAGACAGAAAGAAAGAAATAAAGACAGAAAGAATGAAAGAAAGATAAAGAAAGACAAAGAAAATCAGAAAGCGGATTTTTTGTTAAAAAATCTTCATCAGCTTGTCTTTGCTCATGCACCCAATTGATGAATGTACAGTGATCCAAATTGTCAGTGGGTTTCAGTTCTTGTGTCAATTGAATTTTGTAAGTATGTACAGATACTTCTTTTGTCAAAATTCAATGTAACGTTGTTGTGGGGAAGTTCAATTCCTGCGCGTGATGACGAATAGAGGTGTCTGGATTTTTGGCCACATTCTTGAGCATTGCAGCAATGTTTTCAGCTCAATGGCATAAACGAGCACGCAATAGTGCTTTCACATCTGCCACCAACCTAGTTTGCTTGAATTTATGCACAATTTTTCCAACTGCACTCTCAGTTGGTCGATTATGTTGACCAAAAAATCGTGAAGTGCACAAAATGCATTTCTGTTTGAATGTCCATTTTCGTAATATGCTTCAATAACTTGATTGTTAATCTTCCAATGGTTGAAATTAAGTTGTTAAATCTAAAAGAAAAAGAAAAAAATTATTAGATGCTTAAACTTAATTCACATTTAAAATCGGTCCAAGTTATTGGAACACCATATTTATTCACCAGTTTATGGCTATATCATGTTGAAATACCAGTTTTTGATTAATCACCAAAGTTAAGTAACATTGAGCCTGGTCAGTACTCATATGGGTAACCAGTGTGAAATAGCAAGTGCTGTAAGCTATGTGACAGACCAAACTTTTATGGACATGTTGCAGCTACTGGATGTATAAATGAGCATTTAATGTTTCATGTTTCAAGCCAGTGATGGAAACAGTCTTACTACTTATACTAATAAAAGACCTCAACATGTGGAGGTACTTCTGGACTGACACTCCACAAGACCTACCAAGAGTTGCATGTATGGTGAGAGAGTTATATATTCACCATTACTTGAAATGACTTCCTGCCACTTATCAAGTAGTTTATTAATAATATTTTAGAAATGTTCTACTGCTTCTGACATGAAAAAGTTTTTGACAAACACTGGAATCTGTTTCTTATTAGGGGATGTTTTTCCTATCAAAGTATTTTCCAGCAATTGAAAAATGGTAATAATCAGTTGGTTCAGGGTCAAGTAAATATGGTGGATGGGGATAGAACAAGCCAATCAATTTTCAAAATTTTCCCTGTGTTTTTCTCGTTGTATATGGCCTTGTGCTTTCATGGAGGAGAACAACATATTTTCTAAGGATCAGTGCAGGGAACATTTCAATAAGATTTTTATGAATATGTTCCAGCTACTGGACGTATAAATGTGCATTTAACATTTCTCTGCTTTTTAAGAATTCTAAATGAATAATATTCTGATGATCCCATAACATTCTCACTAATTTTCTCCATGCATGGAATGTTTCCTTTTCCTGAGCTCAACTTTTGGAGTTGATTGTGTCAACTTTTGCATTGAACATTGTCGTATATAACAATGTTTTACCACCTGTTGTAATATGAACTGTTAGGATGATAAATGCATCATTACAGCTGGCTCCAAAATATAAAATGTTTAATAGCAAAAATTTAATATCTATAGAAAGGACACTAGGTATTTGAGAATACAGTTTTTGAAGAGGTAAAACCAAAAAGGATGTAATATATTGTGGTATAGTATACACTAGTGTTCTGGTAGAGTAATGGCTTGAAGCATGGATTGAAGAATTAAATAACCAAGTTCAAATTCCAGCTGGGTTCATTATATTCACTTATGTGTTAATACCTTGAGAGAACAAACTGTGATAGATAGATAGATAGATAGATAGATAGATAGATAAGAACAGATGATGATAGATGGATAAGAACAGTGATAGATAGATAGACAGACAGATAGAAGTAAGATGAGATAGAAATATCTATCTCTACATATATCTATTCTATGTATCTGATTCTATCTATTTATCTATTTATGTCTATCCATCAATATCTATTTCAGTCTGGTCACATCTATCTGTATCCAAAAACATTTATAGAAATAAAAATTTGAACAGGTCATGAAAGATAGATATGAACTAACTGAAATAGAGAGATAGATAGATAGGTTTGAACAGGCTATGATAGATAGATAGATAGATAGACAGACAGATAGATAGATAGATTTAAACAGTATTTGAAAGATAAGTTAAAGATCGATATCTACAAACTGAGATAGATAGATAGTTTATACTGTTTATTATAAGCAGAGCATTTACTTCAATATTTGTATCTTTAAAAAGAACATATAAACATAAAAAATGTTTTAAAATAATTATTAGACTTTATCTATTTCTCAATGTGTGACATCATTTGTTTACATTTGGATACACATCGAGCAGATATGAATGTATGAGTGAAAATCATGGAGAATTGTAATTTAAAAACAGTAAAATCAACCTTGCTAACAAAATGCTCCTCTGTGCCTCAATTGGTAAAGCACGTCAGGCTATATGACGGTTCCGTATAGGATACAGGTTCGATTCCTGTCAAAGGGCACATATTTTCTATGGAATTTCTCAGACATTCAGGCCAGTAAATGTAGTTAGTACTGTTTATTATAAACCAGAGAATTAATTTAATATTTGTATCTATAAAATGATTGCATAAACATAAAAAATGTCTTAAAATAGATAGATAGATACCTCAAAATGCTTTTTATGTTTTACAATTATATACAGATCACAGTTTCTTGAATATTTGTGCAAGCCTTAACTGTGTATATAATGACCAAATATTTTTTTGAAATACATTTTCTGTGTATACCAATATTGTTGAAACAGTCTGCCCAAAGCCTAGATGTCTACTCATAGGTTTTGTTATATTTAGACTTACTTCTCCAGATATCACAGTATGACTTTGTCAGTTAGATGCAAAATACAAACCACAAAATATTCATTTAACTCAACCAAATTTTACATATATCTACCAGACACTTAGGAGTCAAGGTGTTGCTCATTATCTTTGAGAGAGCAGAATCTAATTTATCAAAGCATCACAAATGATTGCTGATGGCATAGATTTTGCTATAGACTCCAATATCCTGCAGTATGTCTCTTCAAAGAGATAAGAAACATGTTTTATGCATAAATATAAGCTCATAAAACTTGTGCATTGAAAACAGCATCAGCACCTCCAATAAAGCCGTCATCAAATGAAACCATAGATTTAGGGCTTAAACATCACTACAAATCTTCTATGGCACTCCAGCAAGGCTACTTGATATCAACAGTTTTTTGTTTTTCTTTTAGATTGTGAGAATTCTATACTTCTGATCTTCTTGCATTTATTTAACTCTTTGACCAATAGCACAGAACAAATTCCAAAATAAAAACTTCAACCAAGACAGGATTCTGAGATTTTTTTTATCATTTCACCCCTAACAAGGCAATAAAGCCATTAAGACACAAGGGGTTATTGAGTGTTACAGAATATGAGGGAAAAACTATTGCATTTAAAATCATTGAAGATTAAAGTTGATTGGGAAGCAAGAAGTCGGAAGAGGGTTCCATAAGTATGATAGAAGAAACTGTTAGCATAGAACTTACAGTTAGATCTTGCTATTTCAACTGTAAAATGATGAGACCTTGCTGCCAATCTAGTACTGCACTTAAATTCATAAAGTCTAAGTACCGTACAGGAGAGTTCATCCACACAATTACCATGAAAGTATTTATAGAATATGCACAGAGAATCTACATTACAACAATGGGAAAGTGACTGAAGCTGAGATGCAAGGTCAGGACCAATAACATAGCAGATTCTTCAAGAATCTCTAAATATATAGCAGGTGCATCGAACTAGATATTGCAGCAATATTCAAAGCAAATTTTAGACTTATAAGATAGATTCAAGAGAAAAAAATTGTCTCAGATGACACAGTGAACCATTTTTCCTAACAGCCAACCTAACATTTGATTCCATATAATATTCCCACTTCATGTCAGTGGAAAATGATTTGGGATGAGAGTTTAACTCTGCCTCTTTCTTCTTGATTTTGAAGTGGTTACTTCTATGATGGAAAGGTTGTGATAAAAAGCAAAAATAATAAAATAAAGCAAAATTTGTTATAAATTATGGTAAGAATGAAAAATGTATTTAGTCAAATGTGATCTGACAATAAAAAACAATAAAATAATGTAAAACTAGTATTAAGATAATAGCAATAATAAAGAATTATCAACTATTTATCAATTATTAGAACTGTTAAGATAAGAATTAACTGTTATAAAACTAGTAATAAACTAATAATAATGATGAAGAATGTATGTATCCAGAGGATTATGATAAAAACAACATTAATAAGATAAAGTGATTTGTTTTTAATAGCTGATCATCTTTTTGCAGTATATTTAAAGCTGGAAAATAGTTTTAGATTCTGAGAATCTTTTGGAGATAATGATGAATTACTGCTAAAGTTCTTACTAATTAAGATATAGCCTTTTGAAAACAGCATACTTTTGAAATCAATCTGCTTTTGAAAGCAATGTACTTTTAAACAGTGTACTTTTAAAAGCAATTTACTTTTGAACAGTGTAATTTTGAAAGCAGTGTACTTTTGAAAGCAATGTACTTTTAAGAACTGCATACTTTTGAAATCAATGTACTTTTGAACAGTGTACTTTTGAAAGCAGTGTACTTTTAAAAGCAGTGTACTTTTGAACAGTGTACTTTTGAATAGTGTACTTTTTAAAGCAGTGTACTTTTGAACAGTGTACTTTTGAAAGCAGTGTATTTTTGAGAGCAAGGTACTTTTGAAAGCAATGTACTTTTAAGAACAGCATACTTTTGAAATCAATGTACTTTTGAACAGTGTACTTTTGAAAGCAGTGTACTTTTAAAAGCAGTGTACTTTTGAACAGTGTACTTTTGAATAGTGTACTTTTTAAAGCAGTGCACTTTTGAACAGTGTACTTTTGAAAGCAGTGTATTTTTGAGAGCAAGGTACTTTTGAAAGCAATGTACTTTTAAGAACAGCATACTTTTGAAATCAATGTACTTTTGAACAGTGTACTTTTGAAAGCAGTGTACTTTTAAAAGCAGTGTACTTTTGAACAGTGTACTTTTGAAAGCAGTGTATTTTTGAGAGCAAGGTACTTTTAAGAACAGTACCTATTATTGTAACTGTACAGTTGATTTTTGCCTGGTTTTCAACCTGAGCTCATTGTAAGACATGAAATATTGACTTAGCAATCTCCGGCTTGAAATGCCATAAGCAGGTTGGGGCCGTGTGCACAAACAATCCTAGTAACCCACACAAAAGAAAAGAACTGATGCAGTGATGCAACGCTTGGAGATTGATTTGCTTTGAAACATATCATTGACCAAGTAGGGCAAGAACATAAGCACAAAGAAACCATTGAACAAACGGCATTGTTTTTACTCAAATATATTGACAGGATGGCGAAAAGCACTTGGAAATTGATTCAGTCTTAGCAATAAAGACAACTTTAGTTCAGTAAATATATTCCTTAAGTCTTTTTTTTTTTCATTTTCAAGACATGATACTGATCGTTGGAATGTTAATCATGACAATTTTGTTCTTTGATGTTTTGAAATAAAATATCTTTTATTATTTTAGCTTTAGCAGGGCAAACATACTTTCTACTGTTGTCTCTATCATAGAAATGTAGCCATGTTTTGGGATTTAATTAACTGTAATTTCAATCATCCAGTATTTTTTGCCTTTTCCTGGTTAGATACATTCTTCATGATTAGTTTTCATTTTTTGCTAGTTTTCCTTTATCTTATTATTGTTGCTTTTTATCTCAATATTATGGCTCTATATACTCTTTGTGATTGCTGTTATTGTATTACTTGTTTTATATCATCTTATTATTATTGCTTCTTATCACAATCCTCTGAGTCAATACACTTTTCAATATTACTCAAACCTACATCCCCCCAGGCAGAGGAAGCTATTATTAGATCCGACAGGCTTTTGGCTAACTGAGCTACATAACATAGCTGATCAGGCGAGGTTGAATAAGTGTCTTTAAACAAAATTCCTTTTGTCATAGATGTCTCAGTATTTTTCATATCTGCTCAGTTTTGTATCAGAATGTAAAGAAAGCAATTTCTAAAGAAGTATTGGATTTTTATTTATTAATCCAACAGATCCATCACTTTAAACATTATTTTTAATGCATAATCGTATTTGAATAGATGCTCTGTTTATTTATTAAATTGTATATTAATTTATTTTCATCCACCAGCCGAAATATTCAATAAATCTTATTAAAGAGAAATATACACTCTTCCCAGGTGAACACAGGTTCGATTCCTGCTGCAGGAAATATGGTTTTTCTTTAATAAGATTTCTGATATATTCACGCCATCAGATTAAAATAAATTAATATACAATTTAATAAATAAACAGAGCATCTACTCAAAAATGAGTATCCACTAAAAATAATGTTTAAAGTGATAAAATATACATATTGTGTGTGTGTGTGTGTGTGTGTGTGTGTGTGTGTGTGTGTGTGTGTGTGTGTGTGTGTGTGTGTGTGTGTGTGTGTGTGTGATTGATCTAGCCATTTTAACCAAATTTAAGGAATATGAGAAAAAAGATATGCAGAAACACTGATTTGGCTCTTCCTGACGATTATTTACAAAAGAAGAACACTTTTAAATAAAATGTTGCTTATTTAATTGATTGAAAGAAAGAATGAAGAAAAGAATGAAGGAAAGAGGAAAATAAAAATAGAATGTAAGATAAAATCAAACTGAGAGAAAAGAATTAAAATCTAGAAAGGAATTATGCAAAAGTTAAAATATTGATTGAAGGAAACAATGAAAAAAAGAATGAAGGAAAGAGAAAAATAAATAAAAAAAAATGAAAGAGAATGAAAAAAGACTGAAAGAAGAATTAGAATCTTTAAAGGAGTGATGGAAAAGTTGAAAAATTGATTGAAGGAAACAATGAAAAAAAGAATGAAGGAAAGAGAAAAATAAATAAAAAAAAAATGAAAGAGAATGAAAAAAAGACTGAAAAAGAATTAAATCTTTAAAAAAAAAAATTGAAAGAAGGAAATGAAAAAAGAATGAAGGAAAGAATTAAAAAAAAAATGAAAGAGAATGAAAAAGACTTTAAAAGAATTAGAATCTTTAAAGGAGTGATGGAAAAGTTGAAAAATTGATTGAAGGAAACAATGAAAAAAAGAATGAAGGAAAGAGAAAAATAAATAAAAAAAAAATGAAAGAGAATGAAAAAAGACTGAAAGAAGAATTAGAATCTTTAAAGGAGTTATGGAAAAGTTGAAAAATTGATTGAATGAAAGAATGGAAACAGCATGAAAGAAAGAGAAAAATAAAATAAAATGTAAAAGAAAGAATAATAACTGATAGAAGAATAATTTATGAGCAGGAGCTACCCAGTCTTCACTTTCACAGTAGAGTTCAAAAGCATCCCCGCATCCTTGTGGGTGATGAATTATTTTCCACTCTACAACCCCTTTCCCCACAGACGAAAAATCACAAACCTCTTACTATTCTAGCTCTATTTTCATGAAAAGTACTCAGATGAACTATATTCCTTAGTTCGGCCTGCTCTAACCTTCATGGCTAAGACCTGCCATGCTGCCCACATTGTAGTAACCCACCCTCATTCCCTTCATATTCCATTTATAAGATTTAAGTTCTACTTGAGAAGCTTCTTTCTGCTAACTGATGCTACATGGAACCGACTCCCAAGAGGGTGCTTTCCTGATCACTACAACATTAACCTATCCAAGTCAAAGATTAATCATTATCTTCAGCTTATATAAATATAAGTTGTTCCTCTTATTTTATAACCCTCTACCTCAAGTTGCCTTGTATAGGGTGAAAATCATTGTTAAAAAAAATACAGAAATTAATTATAACAGAAATTGGTAATGAGGAAGAAAATAAACGAAAACCTGTTTACAGTAGAAAAAGAAACAAGAGGAAAAAGATAGTTTGAATGAAAGAGTTTTAAGCGAAAGAATTCTTAAGAGAAAAAAGGAAATTGTATAATAATTTGGAAGACCATAAATGGTAAAAAGAGGAGCAAAAAAACAGAAAGAATTTAATGAAAAAAAATTAATGGAAACAATCCAAAAATATGAAAAGACTTAAAGAAGAGAAGAGGATACGCAAGCTAAAGATTGTCTTGAAGGGGGAAAATGGCCGAGGATCAGAAACTAAAAGGAACAAGCATATGGTTAATGGATTAAAGACAAATAGACAGAATTTGATCTGTGCTTTGTGGGTGGCTGGCTTTGATTTGGTTAACTCTGCAAACATTCCTTGCAGGAAGGTTCCTGAATGTCTTCCTTAATAAGTCATCTTTGATTTTGCCCTTGGCTCACGTTCTACCAGAAAGATGGCTGTGGAACAACCACGAAACAAATGAATAAACGCTAGGAAAGAAGAAAATTAAAAAAAAAAAAGAAAATAAATCAGAAAAGAACAGTCTGATGGACTGGGTTGTAAAAAGGCAAGAACATTTAATAAAGAATACATCCTTGTCCATTTTGCCATCTTAAGTGTCTTATGTCCAAACATGGTAAATTAGAAACTTGTTTATTTATTGTCTTCTAAGCTTGGTTTGCCCAGTTCTGCACACGTTTATCTATATTTTTTATTCTGACCCCACCAAACAAATAAAGGTATTGTGTGTGATGAAAGAGAATCAGAAATAATGTTTAAGGAGATTGCTACTGATATAAATGGAAGCCAATGGTTAGAGACATGAAACTGAGGATGTGAGGGTGGAAAATCTTTATGTTTCCACATGAATCAAAAATCTTTTTTTTTCTTTTTGTTTTTCATGTATTCATAATCATTTGTATATGTAGCATAATGGTTATCAATGTGGAAATTAGAATCTGAGAACAAAATTCAAATCTGATCAATTCTGTTGTATTCACTTTCACACTAATAATCTCTCTTCAAATCTGTTTTTTTATGCATTCATACTCAGTTTTGTGGTTAGCATAATGATTATCAATGCAGTAAGTGGATTTGGTTAGTTAAATTTAAATCCTAATTCTGTAACATTTACTTTCACACTAATAATTTGGAAAAAGCATGAATCCATCTCAAATATTTATCTCTTGATTTGTTCATACTCAATGTTTGACAATCACCTCACAATTGAAAAAGAGACATGGGACAACTGAGATGGGGTTCTACAGAAGGATGCTGAGAATACCATTGACTGAACACTTGAGTAACAAGGAAATTTTCTGGAAAGTGGAAAGAAAAAGGACTCTTATTCCTAGAATCAGAAAGAAACAACAGTCATTTTTATGGTAAATAATGAGGAAAGAGGGCTTTGAAAACCTGACACTCACAGTACATATCTAAGTCAAGAGTGACAGTAGGGAGACACTGAGTAAATTGTGTAAATGGATGGCAAAACAGATATTGGAAGAGATAAAGAAAAACACAAAGTTTACCAAGAGCTACAAAGAATAGGAAGTTGTGGAGAGCCATGAGCCCAATATCCACACAGCACATATGAGATTTAATGCAGAAAGTACAATTAGTAAACTGAGTTCTAATTCTGACCAAATCCGTTGCATTCATTTTCGCACTAATAATAATAATAATAACCTTGGGAAATTCATGAATCTATCTCTTCAAATATTAAACCTAAATTCTTTAAATACCAATTTATGAGCAGTATAAATGATACTGACACAAAAGTAAAATCAACAAATTCCAGGTTAGTCTTTTGCATTTACTTTCACACCAATGTCCGTGGGAAAAGTAAAAATTCTCTTCTCCCCTCAGCTATGGGCTTTTAAGCAGGGTAGACTGAGCTCACTAGCTTTGCATGGTAACCAGTCTAAAAGAAAGAAGAATTTCAAACTCTCTCAAGAATGCATGACAATTCAAACATTATAAAGAAAAGGAAGCCACGGAGAATCATGACTGTTTAATGTCCTAAAGAGATGTAGCATTAAAAAATAAAAAAGATAGACTGGTTTCCCTAGCCTTGGTTGGCAGCCAGTCTAGAAGAACTACTTTGAATTCAAAAAACTGTGAAAAAGGCAATGAGAAATGACTCCACTATTTTTTCCTCAGAAGATTTAGCAATTCAGAGAAAATTAAAGAGGAAGCTGTGGAGAGTCATGATTGCCTATATCTTGAAAGGTGATGGAATTTTTTAAAAAAATCCATGTTTATGAAAATGAAAGAAAATGCAGATATGGAAAATGACTGCAAGACAGAAAGGAAAAAAAGAAAAATAATAAAATGAAAGAAAAAGAAATGTTTTTCTTTCTTTCTTTCTTTCTTTCTTTCTTTCTTTGTATCTAACTCCTTCCTTTTTCTGTTAATGCATTTTTCTTCCTTACTTCTCTTTCACCATCCATCTATTTATCAAGAAAGATGAGAAAAAAAAAAATTACAAAAAGAAGAAATGAAAAGGTAATAAAAATGAAGAAAAAAGAGAAAGGAAGAAAAAAACAAAAACTCAATGACAAAAAACAGGATGAGGAAAATGAAGAAAAAAATATTGAGATAGTAAAAGAAAAAGTGAACGAAAAAGAAAGAAATTAAATGAAAAAAGCTAAAAAAGAAAAAATAATACAAAAAAAAGAAAGGGAATAGGAAACTGTAAAATTAGAAAAAGAAAGAAAAAAATAAAAGTATTGAATGTTACGAACAAAAAGAAAAATAAAGTTCTAAGAATATAAAGGAAAAGAAAAAAAATGTTTGAAAGTGAATGAAAAAGAAAGAAAAATAGCTGCAAAATGAAAAACAAATTAATCATTCTGATATGTTTATAATTCAAAGAAAAGAATAAAAACAAACAGATCTGCTTAGAGGCTATATGAACTGGCTGATTGTAAATCAAGAAATTCTTCATTAAATGGTCAATGTTTTGTCGATAGGGAGCCATCAGTAACCGATTTTATTAGAATTCACAGCAATCACAAAAAAGAGAAATCAGTGTTTTGTTTTTGCTAAGGTTTTCCAATATTGCCTGAGTCTAAAAACTTTGCAAATCAGTATAAGTTGGTTTTATTGTGTCTGCTTGATTTGATGTATGAATGATACAAGAATGGCTAACAATTTACAAATTAGAACTAAATATTTATACACTTTCTTTTATCTAAAAAACAAAATCTATGGTAGATCAAAGTGTAATATCTGTTCATTTTTTTTGTCTTAATTGAATCATGCAATAAGATTTGTTTATCAGTATCAAATCAGTATAAGTTGGTTTTATTGTGTCTGCTTGATTTGATGTATGAATAATAGAAGAATGGCTAACAATTTACAAATTAGAACTACATATTTATACACTTTTCTTTTATCTAAAAAACAAAATCCACGGTAGATCAAAGTGTAATACCTGTTCATTTTTTTGTCTTAATTGAACTGGGCAATAGGACTTGTTTAATTTTTGACACAGACTTTGTTATTTTTTTTTTACTGTGCATATTTTCATTGTTATAATTGCCTGATATTTTGAGTTAATATCCAATTGATCTTTTAGACTACTCATTATTATTGTTTTTCTTTGAGACAATCATTTCACCTCAGGCAAGGCAATAAAGCCTCTAAGATACAGGGGGCTACTGAATGTGAAAGAATATAAAAAATTAAAAAACACTGTTAAGGAGTGAGAACAATAATAGAACAAGGAACAAGAAAACAGAAATAATGATTGACATAGTAATAGGGAATATGAGAATAAGAAAACAGTTTTAAAGAGTAGTAGTTTAAAACAGTTTTAAAACAGTAAAAGAAGAAGAATAAAGAAGGCAGAAGATAATGATTGACATTGTATTTAAATTTTTGAAGGTCAAGCTGGAAGTGAGTTTCATGTATGAGAAGTGTGAGAAAAGAAGCTGTTAGCATAGACCTTACAGTGACATCCAAATATTTCAACTGTAAAAGAATGAGACTTAGATGCCAATCTACTATTGCGTGTAAATTCATAATGTCTAGGTACCACGGAGAAGAGTTCATTAGAACAATTACCATGAAAGTAATCCTAGAAAAGGTACAGAGAATTTACACTATGACGGTGGGTAAGTGACTGAAACTGAGATGCCAGGTCAGGGCCAATATCATTGCAGATTCTTCTTTGGATTTTATCATGGGATGTTAAAGATATAACAGGAGCACCAAGGCATGGATGAATGGTAGAATTGGAGATGAACTTATGTTAATCTTCAATGAATAATTTGGATTATCTTAATCTTCATAGAAGGAATGTAGTTCATTCTAAGTACTTTCTGTAAATATAGTGATAGAGCAGTGAGTGGCTTACCACATCCGATCTGTGAGAGAGAGGTTGGAGGGTGGAGAATAATTTGTCACCCACAAGAGCTCAGAGATGCTTTTGGACTCTGTCAAGGCTGGAGAGTGAGGTCTGGGCAGCTCCCGACCAAATATAACAATTATACTCCATTGTTGGCCTTGTAAAGTTAGAGGATAGCACATGGAGTCAGGTACTTCCTGGCACCAACCATTTTACCTGCATAGTTAAATTTCTGAATGTCATCATTTCTAACCACCCGAATAAATTCCATGAAAGAGACCAAACCAGCTAAAACCTTTTGTTAGTTTTAATAATTTTTTTATTTCCTTTTACGCAATGTAAGTGATGGTTCTGATTTTAAAACCATAAAATATCAAAAAAAGGAAATTAATGAATCCATTTTTTTAAAAAATGATAGCTAGCCTCTCCCGAGACTGACAAGGATAATAATATGATGGTTTTTTTTTATGCAACTGCCTGTACAAAAAAAAAATAAATCACAGGTTGGTGATTAAATAAGTGCTTACTAACTGTTGAAACTTGACTAATGCATGGAATAATAATGCAACACAAAATGTACTTAGAACAAAATGTATTGAAACAAGAAAGTGTACACAATATTTACATATAGTCTTTTGTATATTCCTGGGAAGACCGTTCCTGGAGAATGTGTTGACTTAGTTGCAGTCGGGCAGAGTCTCTGGATTGAATCTCTTGATTCCCCCACTTTCTTCCCGGTACCAACCATATTTATATGGTCGGTACTCCACTATGCAAATTAGATGGATCCTACCACAACACTAACACACTCACTCATTCCTTTATCTCTCAACTCTCATGTCAAGCCAGTTAAAACTCTTTCAAGATATCTGAATTTGAGATGCAAAAAAAAAAAGATTCATGCCTTTCACAAGAAAGGATCTCCGAGACAAGGTAGTCAAAGAAAGTAGAATGAAAGGACTAATCATCAATTTTAAGAAGACAGAATATATGGTTGTCAGCAAAAGAAACTACCCAATATGCAAGCCATGAATTGGATATACCAAAATCAAACAAGTACATGTTGTGATGCGTTTTGACAGATGATAGAAAATATGACAACAAAATCTGAAGGAACACTGGAATAGCAAAAGATGTCTTCAAAATCTAAACAATGGAATATGAAAATTTTGTTAAAAACAAAGAAAAGAGCACTCAACTGCTAAACAATATCAATCCTCTTATATAGGAGTGAATGCTGTACAATTTCCACACTTATGAAAAGGAGATTGGAATCAATGTGGTTACTGAAAATAACATGGGCAGATGGCACAAATTACAGTCAGAGGAGGACATGTCCAAATTAAATGGGCAGTACAACAGTATTTTAGATATAAATGAACTTTTAGCATTCCTTTACACAGCGTTGAGAAACAAAGATCCAAAGCTGCATTGAATTTGTATAAATTTCTAAATTGGGTGAATTTATTTTAAAGATGAAATTTATTTTAAAGATGAAATTTATTTCTCATTGAGAAAAGACATAGACATGTTTGAAAATTACAATTTTTAACGTCTTTTCTCATAATGTTTCTATTTGGTCTAAAGACCTAATAATATACAATAAATATTATTAGTCTTTTTATAAATATTATTATTTTTGTTTTTTTATCTCTCAAATGTCTTTCATCTATCTACTTTAATTACACACACACAAATATATATATATATATATATATATATATATATATATATATATAATGCCAATTTGTAATTGGTAGGGATTATTCCAAAGAAGACTTTAATCCAATGAGAGCTCAATTTAAGTTACAGGGTATATAATGATAAATTAAGAAAACACCTTAAAAATCCACATCAGTTATAATTTATTTTGTGAATATTGTTATATTCATCTTTTCAGACCGAAATATGTATTGATCAATGAAGCAGTTGTAAGGAAAATGGAAGCAATCATGCATTAAATCAGAAAGTGACATTTGAAATTTCTTGGACACATAATGAGAAAAGAAAGCCTAGAAAATGTGACACTCACAGGGTATATTTTATGACAGTGAGTGCTGGACAATTTCCTCAGTGATGAAAAGAAAACTTGAGGTAACAGATATGTGTTTCTACAGAAGGATTCTGAGAATACCTTAGCCAGAACATGTAAACAATGAGGATGGAAAAGACAATCTAGAAGGGTAATTATATATAAAATCCGAAAGTGGCAGTTGAAATTTCTCAGATGCATAAGCAGAAAATATTGAAGGAAAGAAAAACAAAGGGAAACAATGAGTAACCAACTTGAAAGGTTAGTGTAAATGGATGGCAGCACAAGGACAAGGAAAGATAATAAAAAGAGATATATTGTTAAGAGTGATACAGGATAGGAAGTTGTGGAGATCCATGATCGCCAATCTCCTGAATGGACACAATATATTGAAAAAAGATTATTTCAAAGCCAAAATAATTTGAAAGAAGGCAAATATTGTTGCCAGATTTTTCTCTACGATAATCATTATACCACCTTACATCGCAAGTACCACTGATGAACAAACCAAAAAACCTATTAAAAATGATAATTAAATAGAACCGGTTATTTTCTTTTCCTTTTTCCTGTGGAACAATGAAAATACTTAACTTATTATTTATTCTTTTGATGGAGCAGCACCCACCCCAGTGTTATGAGTGAAAAAGGTCAAAATAAAACATCAGAACAAAAAAAAAAAAGGCTTTCCATAAAGGTCCCAATCAGCTTCTAATAATAAGCAGGATATAGTTAAACCATTTAAAAAGGATTGTTTGTCTGGCGCCAGTGATATTCAAATTAACAAAACTTCATATATATATATATATATATGTGTGTGTGTGTGTGTGTGTCTGTGTATGTGTGCATATGGCATATGAGTCATGTTATCGATGAAGGATAATGTATATATTTATTTATATATATATATATATATATATATATATATATATATATATATATGAGTTTCATGCATTAGTTAATCGGCAGGTTTCCACTGACATGTATCTATAAATACATAGATCAATAGGTAGATAATAAAGACACTCGAGAAAGATAGATGAGAGATTAAGAGAAATAAGCTGATAGACAGAAAGGAGCAGACTGAGATAGATAGATAGATAGATAGATAGATAGATAGATAGATAGATAGATAGATAGATAGATAATGAACAGATTGAGATAGATAGATAGATAGATAGATAGATAGATAGATGAGAAAAGATAGATCTGAGAAAAGTAGAGTGAAGCCAT